GTATGGAGAGTCTAAATGCACACCAACAAAAGAATGGTTAAGCAAACTTTGGTACAGACATACAATGGAATACTATGCAATTTGGTAGAATAATGATGAATTTGTGAATGCTTCACAAAATGGATGAACTTAGGGGACATTATGCTGAGTTAGTTATATTGTATGAAAGCAATGTTGTAAAATGTTAAGAAAAGTTTTTCTTGATTAAAGAAACACTCTATGATGGTTCTGGGGGTAGAGAGTGGGGAGGGAGAAGAGTAAATTAATCATGGACTAGAGGGTAGACACATGTTAACATGTGTGACAGAGAAGGCAATATACAACAAGAGGGAGGTTAGCAGAGGAAAGATGAAGGTAGCGGGAGGCACAGAGAGGAATGCAATGTTAAAGTGAAAAGAGGTAAATACTGTTAACTGTTGGTACGTGGAATGGGTTGCAATCATTGTAATGACGCAAAGTAAATGATTTGTTGAATGTAAAACTGATGAGCTGTTCTGTAACCTTCACTCAATTCACAATAAAAAGTTAAAAAAAAAATGTTTATGGGAGAGGAAAAAGAAGACTTAACATATTACACTTTGATGTCACACTCATCCTTGTCCTGTGGAGCCAAGGTGGAAAATTCATACATAAACCCTACATTTTTGCTCACTAGCTGATAAAAGGCAGAGATGGAACTGAGAGTATTTCTGCCACTACTGACCTTGGACTCCAGCTATAACGGTCCTCTGCTCAGTTGGAGCAATGGTTAAGCCTTTCTCATGAGATCTCTCATGAAAAGTAAAAGCCTAAATAAAGTCTAAAGATTTGGACTTGAACCATTGAACGACACTGGAACTGTTCATTTTGATTTTCCAGTTCTAAATGAATGTTGTGAGGTCAGACTTGTGTGCTTGCACTGACTACCCTGCGTCTATGTATGTCAAACTTGAGCATCTCTCTTAATTTTCTAAGATTCTGAAAATCGTACACGATAGGGGCTGAGAAGGCAGGAGATGGGGACCATGAGCCCAAAGGGGAGGGGACCTGCTGACCCCAGTCACTTCATCTCAGAGTCCCACTCAGCAAGAGATCTGAGCATCTACCACAACCCAGGCCCTGTGGCAACCATTAGGATGAAAACAAAAATCAATAAAGAGTGAATCTTCTACCTATTACCCTTCTGTGTTGAATCTCCCTATTACATGGCATTGGTAATAATTGCATTTCAGGTTCCTTAATGTAATCATGCCTGCAAAATCCCCTTTTCCCCTACAAGGGTCTTAGGGATGAGGCTGTGTATATCTTTGAGGGCCTATTCAACCTATACAGGGGACCTACAAAGGGAGCTCCACAGGAGAATTAGAATATTAAGAGAAAGACTGTCATGGTGGTGAGGACCATGATGTCTGCATGTTTGGAGGAATGAAGATTTAACACAAGCTTTGAGTGACAAGAAGATCCCAACAACCTGGCCCTAGGGCCCTGTTGTATTGATGGGAAGTGGGCACAATTTACATGGGGTGGAAGCAACGTTGATCACAAATGTATCAGAGATCACAGATGTCTCCACACCGTGTCTGGTTCACTTCTGCCGACCATCTTGGCATTGGAGGATTTGGGTGGAACTAGGATTTGTTGTATTTGGCTAATCTTACCTCTGTTTCCTCCTCTGTGTTTTCTGTATTTCCCGAGACCTCAGCTTCATTTCAGATCTCACTAAATTAAATTAGTCCCTGGACACAGTTGGGTCCAGCATTGTTCTTTATCCACCAAAGAGAGAAGATGTGAAAACATGGAATCTTTGCCTTTAAGAGTTTTAGTTTCTGATTTGCAGGAAATAACCAAAAATTTCTCCCATGTCCCCTCAGAAACATTGTTTTGAGTTTTAGTTTTATAGCCTCTGGGAAAAAACAAAACGAAACAAAACAAGATGTACCTAAGCCTTTAAATTAAGCTGAAGGCCATTATAGATAATTGTCTGAGTTGACCCTGGGAATTAAATGTTTTTCCAGATAAAGAGATAAAGTTCTGTTATTACTCACCTCACTGTGAAATATAAAGAAAAACAGATCAAATGCTTAGCTGATGTACACTGGTCTGTAGAATGCACTTGCTTATGTGAGTCTGGAGGACAGTCTCGAGAGATCAGTCTTCCTGTCCTCCACACTGCTGGCTTTCTGTTAATACAGCTTGGATTGGAGCTCTCCCCATCTTTGTGCTTGACTACAGTGACAGGTGGCAAACCCTCGTTTCGGTTTGGCAACAGGTTCATCGGGTCACGTGGACTCAAACAAAGACTTCTCTGCTTCTTTAGGATATTAAAAAAAAAAAAATTGTTTTTCAACAGCTCAAATTCTAACTCCACTTTTTTTTCATGAAGCATTTTACATACCATTCCTAGCCACCAGTAACCACCCTCTCCCCCCAAAAAACTAACCCCTGCTCATGGCAGCTCTATGTGGGTTCAAGCAGAACTGTGCTCCACAGGGTTTTCAGTGGTGGATTTTTTGGAAGTAGATTGTCAGACCTTTCTTCTGATGTACCTGTAAGTGAACTGGAACCTCCAGGCACGCAAACTCTCCATTTGTACTACCTAGAGATCCCATTTGTTGTTATTAAATGCTGTCTAATCGGTTCCAGCCCATAGTAGCCCTGTATAGGGTTTCCTAGTAGCAGCTGGTGAGCTTGAACGATCGACACTGCTGTTCAAACCGACTTTGCAGTCCAGCGCATTAACCCACAGTGCCACACCAGGACTCCAGGGATTCCATTAATGATTTCACAAGCCCCTAAATTCCAGGGCAGTGTGAATCAGTTTAATTATCTAAGTCTCCATCCCTTGGGGAGTTTTCTGGCTAATCTAGAAAGACTCCTTGTAGTTTGAGCCCAGTGTAATTCTGTACTCCTTATTGTTAATGGGTTTATCCTCAGCTCTCCTCCCACTGAGCCGAGGGAGAAAAAGGCTCTGCTTTTCCGTGAAGCATTTCCTTTTTTGCTAAGAAGAACCAAGAGGTCACATACTCATCAAGTGGTTCTGGCCTTGGCCCCTGGATTCACTAGAAAAACAAACAAAATTGTTGCCTCTGAGTGATGACCCCATGTCTGTCAGATTAGAACTATGCTCCATAAGGTTTCTTTTCTTTTTGCCTTTAAATTTCCAAATGCACCACTTATTGAAAAATACTATCTTGCCTGTGGCTCTGCAGTGCCACTTCTGAAATAAGTCAAGTGTTCATATTGTATAAGTCTTTTCCTGGGCTCCCCAGGGTTTTCAATGGCTGATTTTTCAGATGATTGCTGGAGCATTCTTCCAAGGCACCTCCGGATAGACTTGACCCTCCTCCACTCTCTCAATGAATAGCAGAGCACATTAACTGTTTACAGCAATCCTTAGGTCTATTTATTTAGCCAGTTCTTCTTTGCTTACATAGTTTGGTATTCTCCACTTTGCAAATATTTGGAATGTTTCATCTAGCTATAATCAGGGAAAGTGGTTTTTATGATCAAAACAAATAGTGGTCATGTAATGCAAGTGTCAGATAGCTATCTTTACAGAACACATGCACTAAGCACTTCTGAGCGTGTCCTCCTCCATGCCCCCCCACCACACCACCTTCCTCACACAAACTCCTGGTGCCCCATAGAATAAATCACATGCTGTGTGCTTATACATACAAACACCAAAAAAAAAAAAAAAAAAGAACAGCAAATATCTGATAATAAATATATTTTTTTAATTTTTCAACTAGAACACAGACATAGACACTAGGATCTCAGGATCTTGTTTATAATCACTGAACTTGGTCTTATCGCATGCACATACATGATAGGGGGTGGGAACCCTGCTTCTACGGCCAGATCTGTAGCAACCTTGAGAAAGCCAAAGTCCGGAAAATAAAATGCTAATCTAGCAAGGAGGAGGAAAAAGGACAATATAAAAGAAAGTTGTCTTTGTTATATGAGGAAGGCTGTTTTTGGTTTTCACAGTAGAACGTCTTATTTATGGAGAGGATGTGAGTGCTGTTGAAAAATACTTAAAATATTCTTTAAGGGGAAGAAAGCAGTTCTTCACCAGCGCAGCAGGGCTGGGGGTGGGGAACCTGGCTCTGGGCCTGTCCTGAACCAGCAGGGACAGTTCCTCTTCAGCTTTCAGAGTTGAGTCCTTGCTACAAAGGAAAGAAGCAGACTGATGGCAGAGCTGGGTGTGCACCCCTTTCCCGCTCACTTGGCCCCCCTGGAATGGGTGCAGAACCCTGGAAAGATGGGGGTGGTACACAGTGTTGGGCTTACAGTCAGTACTCAATACATGCAGGCTAGAGAAAGAAACCTTAAGGTCAGCGGTTCGAAACTACCAGC